ATAATCCTGTGCAGCTGAGGTAAAACGAGAGGGCACCTGCTGACGGCTGCGCTTCCCTGGGGGGGCAAAAGGCAATTAAAAGCTTTTTTACTGGACTCACAGCAGGATTGCATGTTTTCTACAACTAATCCAAAGAGCCCATTTAGGGACATAGGTGCATTAAGAAACAATAGGTGATCCTTATTCATTGTTCTCGGCAAGTTCAACTACAGATGTCTTTGCGCTGCTCTCATCAGCCCATAGGACCCACAGCCTGCTTAGTAGACCTTGCAGTTCTCATCACAAAGTCAGCTATGCATCGCACTCAGCTGCTTGAGCCTCATCCTCTAACCCCATGACTAATTCGGGAAGGAGAGGGTCCGAACCAGGGCAACTCAGTTCCAAATTCGCCTGGAATGACTCACATCGCTTCGAGAACATTCACAAGTCAAAAAGAAAGCAGCCCAAGCATGAAACTGGGTCCTGTAAAGCCCCAATCCTAAACAGGTGGTACAAACGCGGGGCAAGTCTTTCCTTTCAATTTGATTGCCACAAGCATTTGTGCTAGAGCACATTTTACGGCGCGAGCTTTAAGCAGAACTTAAAGCTGATTCAGTGGCAGGAAGAATACGGAGTACAGTCCTCCAGCAAGCTGAAGCGACCGGTCTAAACAGTGCTTAGACAACTTAAACAGCAACAGCTTCTTCACAAGCCAAGGCAGCAAGTACGCTTGTATTGAAACAGGATCAACCACAACGCTCTGGAAGATAACCCTCTGATGCAAGCCGTTCAATTGCAGTGAGTAATGAGTTTTTTTATCCTTTAATATTTACAAGCTCAAGAGTGAAGGCCCGTTCACACCAAGAACGATAACTATAAAGATAACGGTAACACTTTACAATAAGGTTCATTAGTTAACTACCTTAGTTAACATGAACTAAGAATGAACAATACTTCTACAGCATTTATTAATCTTGGTTAATATTAATTTCAACATTTACTAATACATTATTAAAATCAAAGGTTGTATTTGTTAACATTAGTTAATACACCGTGAACTAACATGAACAAACAATGAACAGCTGGATTAATATTAACTAACATTAACAAAGATGAATAAATACTGTAACTAATGTATTGCTCATTGTTAGTTCATGTCAAGTCAAGTCATCTTCATTTATATAGCGCTTTTAACAATGAATTGTTTCAAAGCAGCTTTACAGAGATAAACATATAATTTAAGGTAACAGATTGTTTTGGCGTTATAGCGGTTCTTGAATAATGTTACTTCCAGCTAAAGTTAACTTTGATTGATTCACCTCCGTCGAAATGATCAGACTTTAAACGCGAACCTGTGATTAACGCTGATGGCGTTCACATGCTCATTCAGAATTCTATAGTTATGTGCTTTTTAAAATATGTGCGCAGGTTTGTAATTCATACAACCCAGCCTAAACAAACTACTTTCTTGCCTATAAATTTTGATACAGAATTTTGTTTTATTTTATCACTTCGGGGTACGCGAGCCGGAATTCACAGCGCTTTATCTGTAGAGTGGGAAAGGGATCCTCCATAGGGAGAGGATAGTGGATACTTCAGCACTGCATTGTCATCGGGTCCAGGCAAATCTCCTTCGTCAGATCTGGACACGGCCTGGATCCGGCAGGCTGCGGGAAAACCTCGGGATAAACAAAGACACTAATATTAGCGTAGATGCCATTCTTCTTATGATGTAGCGAGTACATCAAGATTTAAGGGAAGTGTTCCCAGTTCCGAATGACCTAATCTATGCAGCCTAACATTGAATTTATAGAAGTCTATAATGTATTATTTGTATGCTAGGTCAAAGAGATGTGTTTTTAGTCTAGCTTTGAACTGACAGAGTGTGTCTGCTTCCCAGACAATGTTAGGAAGATTGTTCCTGAGTTTTGGTGCTAAATAGGAAAAGGATCTACCGCCAGCAGTCGATTTTGATATTCTAGGTATTATCAACTGGCCGGAATTTTGAGATCGCAATAGACGTGAAGGACTATAATGTGTTAAGAGCTCGCTCAAGTACTGGGGAGCTAAACCATTTAGTGCTTTGTAGGTAATCAACAATATTTTAAAATTTATACGATGTTTAATAGGGAGCCAATGCAGTGTTGACAGAACCGGGCTAATATGGTCATATTTCCTGGTTCTGGTAAGAACTCGAGCTGCGGCGTTTTGAACTAGCTGTAGTTTGTTTATTAAGCGTGCAGGGCAACCACCCAGTAGAGCATTACAATAATCTAGCCTTGAGGTCATGAACGCATGGACTAATTGTTCCGCATTTCCCAATGAGAGCATATGGCGTAATTTAGATATATTTTTAAGATGGAAAAATGCAGTTTTACAGATACTAGACACGTGACTTTCAAATGAGAGATTGGTATCAAAGAGCACACCCAGGTTCCTAACCGACGACGAAGACTTGACAGAGCAGCCATTAAGTGTTAGACAGTATTCTGGGTTATTACGTGTGGAAGTTTTTTGTCCAATAATTAGAATCTCTGTCTTTTCAGAATTTAGTAGTAGGAAATTACTAGTCATCCAATTTTTTATATCAGCTATGCATTCCGTTAATTTTGTGAATTGGTAAGTTTCGTCGGGGCGTGAAGAAATATACAGCTGAGTATCATCGGCATAACAGTGAAAGCTAACTCCATGTTTCCTAATGATATCTCCTAATGGTAGCATGTACAGAGTGAACAGCAGCGGTCCTAGTACTGAGCCTTGTGGTACGCCATACTGAACTTGTGATCGATAAGACATCTCTTCATTTACTGCTACAAACTGATAACGGTCAGTTAAGTATGATTTAAACCATGCTAATGCAATTCCACTAATGCCAACATAGTTTTCTAGTCTATTTAAAAGAATGTTGTGGTCAATGGTGTCAAATGCAGCACTAAGATCGAGTAACACTAATAGAGAGATACAACCACGATCGGATGATAAGAGCAAATCATTTGTGACTCTGATGAGAGCTGTCTCAGTGCTATGGTACGGTCTAAATCCGGACTGAAAATCCTCGCAGATATCATTTCTTTCTAGAAAGGAACACAGTTGTGAAGATACTGCTTTTTCTAATATCTTTGACAGAAAAGGCAGATTCGAGATCGGCCTGTAATTGACTAATTCTGTAGGATCAAGCTGTGGTTTTTTAACAAGCGGTTTTATCATAGCCAGTTTAAAGGTTTTTGGTACATATCCTAGAGACAAAGATGAATTAATGATATTAAGAAGAGGATATATGACCTCTGGAAACATCTCTTTCAGTAGCTTAGTCGGTATAGGATCTAACATACAAGTTGTCGATTTAGATGAATTAACGAGTTTGCAGAATTCTTCCTCTCCTATAGCAACAAATAAATCAAATTTTTCCTCAGGGAGACTACAATGCACTTCCTGATGCGATACTGTGGTAGACGGTTGCATAGTTATAATTTTCTCCCTGATATTATCGATTTTATAAGTGAAGAAGTTCATAAAGTCATCACTGCCGTGTTGCTTTGACACTTCTGAGCTTGAAGCTTTCTTTTTCGTTAGTTTAGCCACTGTTTCAAATAAATACCTAGGATTATGTTTATTTTCTTCTAATAGGTTTGAAAAATAAGCAGATCTAGCAGCTTTTAAAGCCTCTCTGTAAGCAATCGAGCTCTCTTTCCACGAAATCCGAAATACCTCTAGTTTAGTTTTCTTCCAGTTGCGCTCCATTTTTCTGGCTGCTCTCTTAAGGGCCTGAGTGTGCTCGCTGTACCACGGCGTTGGACTATTTTCTTTAATCTTCTTTGACGTATTTATAACACGGAGTCGGCTTTGCAGCCTTGGCTAAATGTAATTTACATGAGACTAGATAATGATCTGAGATGTCATCGCTCTGCTGCAGAATTTCAACGGCATCAACATCTATTCCATGTGATAATATTAGATCTAGAGTATGATTACGACAATGAGTAGGTCCTGACACGTGTTGTCTAACTCCAATTGAGTTTACAATGTCTTTAAATGCCAATCCCAAAGCATCTTTTTCATTATCTACATGTATATTAAAATCACCAACAATTAGTACTTTATCATGCAGCCAACATGTCACATTAACTACTGTTAACCAATGAACCTTATTGTAAAGTGGTTACTAAGATAACTATATTAGTGTCCACACCAGCAGACGATATCGTTGTCTGACGCTTTAAATGCTCGAGCTCGTCACAGTAGGATGGATTCTGATTGGCTGTCAATGTTTTTATCGTTCTTTAGCAGGAGAAAATCGTTCTGAAAGTAATTCCACCGTTACCGTTTCTCTGTGCTGTTATCGTTACAGCTGTGGTGTGACTGTGAACTCTGCTATTCTTTAATATTGAGAACGGTTTTTCGAACTATATCTTTATCATTATCTTTCTAGTTATCGTCCTTGGTGTGTACGAGCCTTTAGTCTTGAAGAGCAAAATTCTCCATGTGAATGGGCTGCTGTCTCATGGTAAGTTACGGGCAAGGCCAAAGAGCCAGCAGCCAATACACAGTGTGTTCAAGGAGATCTTCAAGAGCAGAGAGTGGTCTGTGTAATTAGTTCTGGAGTGCTAACAAGCTTGTATTTTGTTTGTATTTTGTAACTTTATTTTTATTTGAAGATGAATGAAAGTCTTATAGACTTGAAACGATATGAGGGAGAGTAAATGTTGACAGAATTTTCACTTTGGTGTGAACTAACCATTTAATTCAATGATGACAAAATCATGCAGGCTACAAAAAAGCTTCAGCAGTGTAACTGCCAGTGTTGATATAAAACAAAGTTATCTGAGTAGTGGTTAAGTGATTATAAAAGACTACTTATGGTTAAAGCACACAAGATCAGACGTATTTCCAAAGATCCAGATCCGAAAACATATTTCAGGGAATTAAAGCCAAAGAAAGAGTGATGGAGTGATAGTGGCTATGGTGAAGGTGAATGACTATGAGAAAGAGCTGAAGACAGCAGATACTCCAGCGTAACTCACCCACACAGAGACGTCCAGTGACATCCAGTGTGAGACTCTCCGGACACTGGCATTTAAAGGAACCTCTAGTGTTCACACAGTGTCCATTATGACACACACCAGGAAACACCTCACACTCATTCACATCTACACAGAGAGAGAGCGACAGATAAGTGCATTGTGATTAACTAGGTAAGCTTAAGACAAAAATCTGAGATTTTATAGTTTATGTGTCAGTCACTTCAATATGACACGGTCACCTTCACATGAAGCTCCTCTTGGCCGAGCAAATCCTTGTTCACATACAGGATCTGTGGACATAAATAATAGCATTCATGAAATAAAAAGCATGTCACAATCCATTATTTTCCTTTGAAAAGACATACAGGTTTTAAATTAATAGAAATACCAGTAAAAATGTTTAAAACATTTTCAAGTATTTAATATTTTTGCCAATAAAAAGTATACTTTTAAAGTTTTTTTTAACAAAAATTTGATTTTTTTTAATCATATAATATAATGGGCTAATAAACTAATCAGGTTGAAATTCAAATATACTTAACATGTACAATACACTATGATTCCTAGCTTTTTATAATAATTTTTTTTATTCAGCAAGGACACATTAAATTGATCAAAAGAGAGTAAAAGTATTTACTAAAAATCTTTAATTAACTTTAAAAATGAACTTTCTATTTATCAAAGAATCTTGAAAAAATCAATTGCAGCTTCAACAAAAATGTTAAACATTAACTGTTTTATACTCTGTTTTAACTCTTAATAATAAGAAATATTTCTTGAGCACCGTATTAGAATGATGTCTTTTTTGTTATTTTCATTTTTATTACATTTTAAAAAACAGAAATTAAAAATTGCAAATAAAAAATAGACTACAAGAAACCATAAAAACAAGGAACAGATACTGTCAGCACTACTTATAAAGTATTACAAGCATATGACATACTAATTCCACATAGAAATGACTAAGTACAAAGCAATTTAAAACATGCCTTATCGCCGTGACTGGTGACAAATATATTTTTCAATCTTGAATTTAAAAAAAAGAAAAATCCTCCTTTCAGAAGGATCATGTGACATTGAAGACTGGAGAAAATTCATCTTTGATCACAGGAACAAATTACACTTTAAAGTGCCCCTATTATGCCTCGAGATTTCGCGTAGTGTAACAGCGCAGCGCTTCTAGGTTGTACGTCACACACATCAAACACACAGGACCAGCGTCGGCCAATCACGAGCCTACGTGTGACGTACAGCCCAGAAGCGCTGCGCTGTTACACTATGTGAAATCTCGAGGGCCACAGAGAAGGAAATTAATAGTTGAATAAAGTTGTTATTTTTGTTTGTTTTTTGCGCACAAAAAGTATTCTCGTCGCTTGATAAACTTAAGGTTGAGCCACTGTAGTCACTCGGACTATTTTAACAATGTCTTTAAATTTTCTGGGCCGGCAAGTTTCGATCTCTTAGAAGCCTATGGAGGAGTGAGACAGCTCTCAGATTTAATCAAAAATATCTTAATTTGTGTTCCGAAGATGAACGAAAGTCTTACGGGGTTGGAACAACATGAGGGAGAGTCATTACTGAGGTGAACTATCCCTTTAAATTTCATTAAGTGTGTAATTTGGCAGCTTGTGAGTGTAAAAAATTCCAAAGATCAAAGAAAGAAACAAGTGCTCGAAGCGTAAATCCAGTCTCGCTTCCCGCACAAACCTGTGTAGGTTTTGATGGAAATTCAGAAGCGAAGACCAGCACTTTTCTCCTGAAATGCCACTCTGTCCTCTCTGCACCTGTTTCTCACTTCATCAATGCATCTCTTCATTTCCTCTGCCACTCAAAACTGCCGCAGTTTCCACAGTTCTCAAGAAGCACAACCTCGACCCCTCTAATTATCGTCCTATTTCAAATCTACCATTTATTGCCAAATTACCTGAAAAAAACGGTTGCCTCCCAGCTTCAGTCTTTTCTAGTTCAAAATAACCTCTTTGATCCTTTTCAAACTGGTTTTCATAGTACTGAAACTGCCCTTGTAAAGGTAGTGAATGACCCACTCCTCTGGTGACTCTGGCTCTCTCTCAATTCTCCACTGGCTTCCAGTGGCCTATCGTATCAAGTACAAAATACTACTGCTCACTTTCACATCATTGCATGGCTTGGCTCCTAGCTATCTCTATAATCTGCTTCTCCCCTACGCCTCGACCCGATCACTTCTTCGGTCATCTGAGTCTGGTCTTCTCTCTGTCCCTCGGATCATTTGGCATTATTGCACCCAAACTCTGGAATTCCCTCCCCGGTCACTCTGCTGAACTATTAATATTTCTGAATTCAAATCCTAACTCAAAACCCATTTGTCCTCTGAATGTTTCATTCATTCAATGTTTCATTCATATAGTGGAGAAAGAAATTAAGGGTCAATCATTTTTATGGCAGGTTTATTTTAACGGATAGAGACAGAATATTAACACATGAAAAAAAAACACATTATAGGTTATCGATTGATTTGCATTTCAGTGAATGAAATAACTATTTGATCCCCAAGCAAAACATAATTTAGTACTTGGTGGAGAAACCCTTGTTGGCAAGCACAGAGGTAAGACGTTTCTTGTAGTTGGTCGCCAGGTTTGCACACATCTCACGAGGGATTTTGGCCCACTCCTCTTTACAGATCCTCTCTAAATCCTTAATGTTTCTTGGCTGTTGCTTTGCAACTCGAAGTTTCAGCTCCCTCCACAGATTTTCTATAGGATTAAGGTCTGGAGACCGCCTAGACCACTCCAAGACCTTAATGTGCCTTGGCGGTATGTTCTGGGTCATTGTCATGCTGGAAGACTCATCCACGACCCATCTTCGGTGTTCTGGCTGAGAGAAGGAGGTTCTCGTCCAAGATTTTACGGTACATGGCCCCGACCATTGGCCCCTCGATACAGTGAAGTCGTCCTGTACCCTAAGTAGAGAAACAGCCCCAGAGCATGATGTTTCCACCTCTGTGCTCGACTGTAGGGATGGTGTTCTTGGGGTCATAGCCAGCATTTCTTTTCCTCCAAACACGACGAGTTGCCAAAGAGCTTGATTTTGGTCTCATCTGACCACAGCATTTTCTCGCCTTCTCTGAATCATTAGATGTTCATTGCCAAACTTCAGATGGGCTTCTACATGTGCCTTCTTGGACTTCAATCCATTGCAGCGTAGAGTTACACCAATGGTTTGCTTGGTGACTGTGGTCCGACTGCCTTGAGATCATTAACAAGCTTCTCCTGTGTAGTTCTGGGCTGATCCCTCCCTTTTTCTGGATTTTTGGGTTGATATTCTGTCTCTGCCAGTTAAAATAAACCTACCATAAAATGTATAGACCCTTCATTTCTTTGTAAGTGGCCAAACTTCAATAATCAAATCATTATTTTCTCCACTGTAAGTTGTGTTCTGTATTCCTCTGTCGGCTTCATTTATTTATATAGCGCTTTTAACTATGGAGATTGTTTCAAAGCAGCTTTACAGAGAGAAACATACAATTTACGGTAACAGAGATTGTTTTGGCTTTATAGCGATTTTGAATACTGTTATTTCCAGCTAAAGTTGGTTTTGATTGATTCACTTCCAGCAAAATGATCATTTGTTATTACATTAGGGGCCACTAAGACGACAGCGTTCTCTCTAAACAGACTTTAAACGCGAACCTGTGACCTGATGGCGTTCGCATGCGTATTAAAAATTGATTCTATAGTTATATTCGTTTGAATATGTGTGCGCAGGTTTGCAGGTCTGTACATGATTATATGCTGCTGTGTGCTATCCTGTCTATGTAATGCCCTTTTACTATCTTTGTATTATCCTTGCTTAATCTTCTATTTAGTAATATTCTTCTGTGCATTCTAATGTCTATCATTACTACCTGTTGTCTGTTATTATTACCTACTGTACTATATTGCTTCTAAAATTCTGTATCAAAATGTATAGGCAAGAAAAGTAGTTTGTTTAGGCTGGGTTGTATGAATTACAAACCTGCGCACATATTTTAAAAAGCACATAACTATAGAATTCTGAATGAGCATGTGAACGCCATCAGCGTTAATCACAGGTTCGCGTTTAAAGTCTGAACATTTCGACGGAGGTGAATCAATCAAAGTTAACTTTAGCTGGAAGTAACATTATTCAAGAACCGCTATAACGCCAAAACAATCTGTTACCTTAAATTATATGTTTATCTCCGTAAAGCTGCTTTGAAACAATTCATTGTTAAAAGCGCTATATAAATGAAGATGACTTGACTTGACTATTGCTATTATATTGCTATTGCTATTTTTTCTTATTGTATCTACTTTGTAAAGCTTCCTTGAACAATGGAAAGGCGTTATATAAATAAAATGTATTTTTATTAATTCAGATAGCAAATGGGAGTTTGGTTTCTGACACTCACTGTAAGTTTACCAATCACAGCAGACTGGGCCATCTGACCAATCAGAGCAGAGTAGACCAATCACAGCAGACTGGGCCATCTGACCAATCAGAGCAGAGTAGGCTCTCAGAAAGGAGGGGTTTAGAAAGTGAATCCTTGATCTAACAGTATGGACCCTATTTTAACGATCTAAGCGCATGGTCTAAAGCCATAGACTGTCAAAAATATGGACATATTGTCCGTGACGTCACCCGTAGGTTTCTGGGGCCGTATTCATAAAGAATTTTATCTTACCTTAAAAGTTATTCACAACGCCTTTCAGACCTACTCTTAGTAAGGAAAAATGACAACTCCTAAACTAAGTGTCTTTGTTGCTATGAATGACGCCAATTCTCATGCACGAGCTTCCTCGCAATGATCACAGTGATTGGTTGTTAGATGACAGGGCCATCATGCGGAGCATAACATAGACGCAACAAATCAAGGAATTACGACATCTAAATATGTCTGTGTCCTACACAAAATAATAATAGTAATGTCATCGAAATGCATATATAATGACATGTTTGTGCAGGCCCCAGTGAAGTGTAACTCTAAAAAGGCAGAGAGAGAGAGAGAAAAGTCTTGAATTAAATTCAATTAAATCAAGGTAGCCTAATACCCTAATGAAAACCGCCACTTGCCTAATAATAAAAAAACGACACTTCCATTAACACTTATGCAAGCCTAAATAGATAACTTAAAGTCGGTGTATGTGAGTGAGTGAATGGGTGAATGTGAGTGTGTAATAACCAGAGTGTGTATGTGTGTGTAATAAGTAGAGAGTACACGCATTGTGCACCCACCTATAGGCGGATATTACTAACGCGCCCTTTAAATAACAAAACAAATACTGCGCCATTG